CCTTTCTCTTTCTCCTGGTGATCGACTGGATCATGAAGACGTCAACGTCTTAAGGGAAGCGCGGGATACAATGGACATCTAAGATGCAGTTGGATGATCTAGACTTCGCAGATGATCTGACTCTTCTATCGCAAGTGCAACAACAAATGCAGGAGAAGACGACCAGTGTAGCAGCAGTCTCAACAGCAGTAGGTCTCAACATACACAAAGAAAAAAGCAAGATTCTCCGATACAACACAGCATGCACCAATCCAATCACAATTGACGGAGAGGACATAGGAGATGTAAAAACCTTTTCATATCTGGGAAGCATCATTGATGAACACGGTGGGTTTGATGCAGATTTGAAGGCGCGGATCGGCAAAGTAAGAGCAGCATATCTACAACTGAAGAACATCTGGAACTCAAAGCAACTATCAACCAACACCAAGGTCAGGATTTTCAATACAAATGTCAAGACAGTTCTACTGTATGGGGCGGAAACCTGGAGAACCACGAAAGCCACCATCCAGAAGATACAGGTGTTTATTACCAGTTGTCTACGCAAAATACTTCGGATCCGTTGGCCGGACATTATTAGCATCAACCGACTGTGGGTAAGAACAAACCAGATCTCGGGGGAGGAAGAAACGCTGGAAGTGTATAGGACACATATTGACGAAAACACCAAACTGTATCACAAGGCAAGCCCTCACATGGAATCCTGAAGTCAGAGTGGGATGGAGAATGCTATTCGGCAGCCTATGCTCCATTAGGAGTAACAGGCGTAAGTAATATATATATATATATATATATATATATATATATATACATATATAATATATATATATATATCAGTCAGCTACAATGTAGGACAAGGTACATTTATGCATCGGTCCACGTTGCCACACCCCATTAACACAAAATGATGAACACAGAATTCATAGAGGTAGTTAATTCAATGGCAGCAATATGTAAACAAAGATTGCATATAAGTTTATGGTTCAGGTAGTAAGGATTAGTTTGTAGAAAGGTATAAAGTAACTTTAATCTCACGGTTTAAGGGAAGACAAAGGGTATATACTCCTACGCCATTGTAATCGATTCTGAGCCATGTCACGTAGAGTCTCTAATCACTGTTTATATTAGTTGCACGCACCGCAACTAAGTAGTCTGTATCTACCAGCATGACAAAGACCAGAAGTTAGCGACTTCAAGCACTGATGCCACGTTTTGGTTTGGCCCCCCTTACTTTCTTTCAACCATCTCCAACACTAATCAGCATTGTGCGTCGTGGTAAACGGTGTTCAAACATACGTAACACGTGACCCAACCGTCTCAGTCGATGAAGATTCACAACTTCGTCAACTGGTTTACTATTATTCCCTAATACCCTGCATCTAACCTCACTATTACTTAACCGGTGATTCCAGCAGATGCGAACAGTATTTCTAAGACATCTGTGATCAAAACTGGTAGCTTGCGAGTATTCTTTACCATTAATGGCCAAGTTTCTCAGCCGTACAGTAGGGTAGAACGAAATGCCGCACAGTATACTAGTCCCTTAATTGATAAGTGGACATCTCGCCTTCTATACAGGTTACTTAAGTTGGTAACAGCCAAACGGGCATTTTGAATCCGTGCTGAGATTTCGTTAGACACCAATCCATTAGGGATGATCAGACTTCTTAGATAAGTGAAGTTGTCAAAGCGTTCGACTACTTCACTCCCTATCCTTAGTTCAGGTGTTGATGCAAGCCAGTCCTGAAGCAACAACTTGCATTTAGAGGGAGAGAAGCGCATTCCAAACATTCTGGCATTGTTGCTTAGTGCTAACAAAAGACTCTGCATTTTGTCGGCGTCTTCACTAAACAGGACTATATCATCTGGGTATTCTAAGTCGATAAGTGGACCTCCTGGAAGATCAATACCCGAGAATTCAGTCGACGAGAAAGTTATTTCCATCAATAGGTCTATGATGAAGTTAAACAAAAATGGGGAAAGTGGACAGCCTTGACGGACATCACTTGAGGTTGCAAAAGCAGATGACAGTTCGCCATAAGCTCTGCCTCGGCTGGTAGTGTTCAAGTAAAGAGCCTTCACAAGGTTTATGTACTTCTGGGGTACGCCTCTCAATGACAGACACTGCCACAGAATCTCGCGGTCTACCGAGTCAAATGCTGCTTTCAAGTCAAAAAAGACCACCATTGTCGGACACTGATAAGTATGCCTGTGTTCTGGAACCTGACGAATGGTGAATATGTGGTCGATGCAGCCACGACCAGGTCTGAAGTCAGCTTGGTTCTCTCGTGTTTGCAGTTCACGAGTCTTAGTTAGGCGTCTGATATTTATCGAGGCTAGTATTTTAGATACTATATCAGTTAAACTAATCCCTCTGTGGTTATCACAGGATGATTTTGACCCTTTCTTATATATTGCGACGATAAGTGATTGTGACCAGTTAGATGGAATAACGTCCAACTCCCAGATCTTAGCTAAAATGTTAGTCAACCTAATCGCTAAAATTGAACCACCATCCTTAAAGACCTCTGGAGCCAATCCATCTGGACCAGCTGCCCTTCCTCGCTTCAGATTAGCTATAGTCTTTTGAACTTCTGCTAGAGTTGGGGGACCTACTTCAATGTTCCATTCACACTGTCTGGGAATGGAGGGTAGTTATAGAGCACCTGAAGGCCAGCTGAACTGTTTTCTGAAATGTTCCGCCCATCGTTCTAAACGTCTGGACCGAGAGCAGATGAGGGTGTCGTCTTTTTCCGAAATAGTCTGACTTACACTTGACTTATTAATCCCAGTTTCTTTTATTAGTCTGTAAAGCTGTCTTGTGTTCCCTATGGCCGCCGCTTTTTCCATCTCTTTTGCTTCCGTTGCCCACCACTGCTCACGGTCGTTTCTTAGACTTTTTCTTAACCTAGATCTGATTTGTTGTCACTCTTCATCATGTTCGGAACCTGATGGGACGAGTTTGCGAGAATCCATCAGTGTGATAGACTTTGAAGAAATCCACTGGTTCTTTGTAACTCTGTAGTTTAAGTCACTAATGGATTTCATTGCTGTTTCCACAGCTGTTTGTATATCTTTCCAAGCAACATCCGGGTCAGTCTCGTTTTCAGAACTACCTAAGTGTGACCTCAGTTATTCCTGGAACCTACTTTTGGTTTTCTCGTTACTCAAATAAGTTCTAATGGGTCTTTTTAATGTAGCTTTTTTGCGTCCAGTGAGGCGCAAGCAGATGCGTGCCCGTATTAGGGCGTGGTCGGAGTTCAAGCAGATACTCCAGAATGAGCGACAATCTTGTACCGACCCTCTCCAACGATGACTGATGGCAATATGGTCTATTTGAGTCCACCGTTGATTTGGTGTAGGGGGTCGCCATGTTAGACGATGTTTCTTCTTATGCTTAAAATTTGTGTTTACTAAAAATAAGCGATTGTCTGAGCACAGTTGCAGCAGACGATCACCATTATCTGTTCGCTGTGCCGGAATACTAAAATATCCACCTAAATGCCTTTCTGTTTGGTTTAAGCTACTTATCTGAGCGTTAAAGTCAACCCCTATGAGTACTATGTCTGAGCGTTTAGCTTTCTGAAGAAGTTAAGAAAGCTCTCTGTAAAATTCATCTTTCACATCATCTGAGCTGCAGTCAGTTGGAGCGTAGGCGGAAACGACGAGAAGGCAACGACGTTTGTCCCTATCCTTCCGAGTTCTTACGGGGCCGTTCAGCCGAACAGCACATAGACGACTGTTGACGGGGATCCACTCTAACAGTGCTTGTTCGGCCCTCATGCTTAGTGCTATGCCTACACCTGCCAGTCCACGGGAACTGGCCATCGGGTCACCAGATACACGGAGGGTGTATCTCGTTGGCTCTCCGTTTTGCCGAGGTGAGGTCAAGTGAATGACCACACTGGAATCCTGTATGCGTGTTTCGGAGACACAGCATACATCAAGCGAAAGAGACTCTAGAGTTTTAGACAAGGAAGCCTGCTGACCGATTTGACATAGAGTGCGTACGTTGAAAGCTCCAATGTGTAGTTTGGAGCGAGGTTTCAGTAGACCTGGGACAGTGTTTTGAGCACTAGAATCGTTGGCTATGGTGACACTTGAGGAGGAAGCCGAAAGAGGAAATTTAGAGTTGAAAGTCGATGTAGGAGGAATAATAGTAGTTGAAGAGGAAGGTTGATTATGAATACAATGGTCTTGGGTGCTGTTAGAGGTATGAGGGCGGTTATCACTTCCCGGTTGCCCACACCGAGGAAGGGTTCCTCTGGAGGTACCTGAAAAGGAAATTGGATTAGAGGTGGTCTCAGTGACCTGAGAGCGTGACCACAGTGCCCAAGGGACAACTGCTTGAGGCCGGTCGCGCACGGCCTTTTCGTGGGAGGTTTTTGACGTGTTAGCTCCGTTCTTCAAAGAGCCTTACCGCCGGAGACGGAAATCCGTGAGGTAAGGCGAGGCGTGCATTTTTAGGGTCGACCATTTCTAACCTCACCCCTACTTGTGGGAAGGCAGCATCGCTGTCATGCTGGTTGTCTGAAGGAAACACCTTACTGCTGTCACACCTCTGTTCAGTCAGCAGTACGACTTCGTCTTCGGACCTTGGGTTTGTTGCTTTTAGTTTTACCGCTCTTCAACCGACCTGTCTGACATGGTAGGACCTTGAGGAACGGTTGTTCCAGCCAGTATAGCTCGGTTGGGTCATCACGATAGGCAAGCACGACCACCCCGTCAAGGTAGCAACAACGGTCGGGTCACCAAACAGGACTATATCATCTGCGTATTCTACGTCATTAAGTAAACCTCCTGGAAGGAGATCAGTTCTTGAAAATCCAGTTGATGAGAATGTTATTTCCAATGCCGCATATATGAATATATATAATATTTATTTCATCATAGTTAACTTCACACAAATAAAAAAATAAAATTTTATTTTCATTACAAACCTTTCAAATCAACAAATAAACTTTACAACAATACAAATGTGTATAGGTAAATAAATTTACCTGAAAACTTTCACACATTGGTCACATTTCATAGCTTTGGTTGCATGTAAAGCTAAATTATGGCGTCTTAGTCCAGTGTTTGAATGAAATCTTTGTCGGCATATAGAACAACAATATAATGTCTGTTTAGTTTTGATTAATTCTGTTGAAGGTTTTGTCTGTTTCAATTCAACTGAGATGTTTATTCCCTCATCTTGTGCTGCACAAAAGTTTGGTTTCGTGGTTTGTTGTTGTTCTTGGTGATGATGATAATAATCAGGCAGATTCAGTTGTTGTTGTGGTACATGAAATGAAATTTCATTTTCACTCTTTAAATTGAAATCTTCTTCTTGGTTTCGAAAAGAATTATCAATGAAGTGAGCAGTTGTGTAATTTGTAAAAGACGTAGTACTGCTCACAGATACTAAAGTGTTTGTATTGGAAGTAATAGTTGTGGGTATATTGTTAGAAATTAAGTTTTCAGCAATATTTGTATGAACATCAATATTATAACTAGAAGTGATCAATTTATCATTTTGAATTGTATAAAAATTAGTGGGACAATGTAGATCAACTCCAGTAGAATTGAAAAGGTTAGCAGCCGATGCAAATCGAGCAATTTGTGATACAGTTGAATAATTGGTTAGTGATAATGGAATGTCATTATTGGTACTTATAGTAGTGGCAATAGTATCGGTATTATTGTTCGTATTATCATGTAATATAGAAGATGACGATGTTGACTGGGAACATGATAATGACAATGATGGATTTATTTTGAAGTTAGACAGAGATAAAATCTGTGCTAACTTATTACTGTTATTATCATTATCACTGTCATCGTTACAATGATGATGATTTTGATGTTGATGATTTAAATTAATAGCAATATTTTCTTGCAACTTTGCAGTTAATTTTATCAATTCGTTATTGAAATTTATTCTATCCAAATTTAAATTTGACCATAATTTTAATGCAGCATCTTCAAGTATTCGTGAGCTAATTTTACTTGGATTGTTAAGACTAGATGTACTTTCTAGCAGGAAATAGTATAAACAAAAATAGAATAAAATCTTATTATAAATTAAGTTGTACTGGTTAGAATACAGAAACAAAACACTAACCGTAATATTGATGCCTAAATTTAAACGAAATTCACTAGAATAAAGCTTAAGTGATGTATGGTAGTTAGTCAGTCTATTCACGTATATCATCAGATAGAATACGGTTCACTTCGAATTCTGAGCAGTGTTTGATACGTCATGGATTATTACATCGGAATAAATAATAGGTCTATTTGTATGCACTCTAAATAATAATAGCACAAACGTTACTTCATTATCCTAGATTAATACATTTAAGTTGACTAACAAAATATAACTTTGTAAGTATTATACTGAAGTGAAAATACTAACTTATACACTGTTTGGTGATACCGTGAAACGAAGTAGTCACAGTCATTCATAAATCACGTAGTACTTGGCACAAATAAACATCTGATAAAATTGCCGAATCATATCCTCATAGTTAGATGAAATTAATAATGTTCGAAGCAACAGGATTTAGCGAACATAGTAATGTCAAGAATAGCAAAAATGAATATAAGCTGTACACAAACGAGAGTTTTATGTTTACGACTGTGTTCTATACACCAAAGCTTAAGAGTGGATGAGACATAAGAAATATTTTGATTGTCCATGTGTTCAACAACTTTGCTTCCTATGATTAACCTGTGCATTGATGAACAGCAATATTGAAGCAACGATTAGGATTTAAAGGAAGAGGACCGCGTCCCCAAACATTCTTAATTTGTTATTCACGGAATCTGTAGGGCCCTTATTCTTGTCAGTTTTATTTCTAGGATCATATCTATAGTGAGGTTGTATTAAACGGACAGCCTTGACAGGTGCACCTCTATTTATTCAATTCATATGAATCCTCCATAATTTCTTACCAGACAACTTATATCCAAGTGCCTCAGTTACAGTCTGGTTAACAATGGAAAAATTATAATTTGAAGAGAAATCACAGTTTTGTTGGCATTTTTTACAGTACTTCAGTAGAGTCTACATTCAAAAGAGTGTTGACTGTTGACGTGCCGAAGACTAAGAGTTACTAATTTCTAATTTGTAAAAACATTAGACAACAAAAAATCGCATTAATGTTCAGTCTATACGTGACTCATATTGTTAGTTTCAATATACAAATAATTAAAAAATAATGTTTATATCCAAAGCCCTTTGTGAACTAACATCATAAATCCAACACACATATCTAATAGAACATTTTCATACGAATTATATTAATTAATAAACAATTTTGGATTCTTAATACAGGAATAACTCTGAAAGTTTTAAGTAGTATTATTAGTCTAGAGTCCATATAAAAATTTCCAGGACACTTAAGATGTCTGTGCTTGTTTGCTGAGAAAAATATAATTAATTCAAAAGTCTATTTCTAGTACAAAGTTTTTTACATAATATTTCTCTAGGGTAATAAAACTTTTAAGGTTTAATAATATATCATATATATATAAACGAATAAATATACAGGTCTACTAGAGCTGATTACCTATGTAAATAGTTATAATGATGACGAAAAGAAACTCCATAAAGTGGAGTTTCAACAACAGTTTATCATTAAATTTTTCGATGACAATCAACATAAATTACTAATAATAATACTACTAATAATAATAAGAACACAGGTAATAATAAATTTACTAATCAGTGGGTTTCAATGAAATCAATTAAAGAAATTCATAAAATTATGTGATTGACAAAATATATTTCTAAATAAATGGAATAAATAAGTAACACTTTAGAAAATTTATTGATTTTTATACAAATTGAAAGTTGAGAATCCGACAGAAGAGAATACATCCTTTTTTTGGGTACTCATAAACAGTTATTTCTACATACTATTACTACCAATGACATCTGACCACAATTATAACAATCTTGGTTTATATATTTAAACATGTTATTTTAAAGGATAATGGTCTGGCTTTTAGATCAAAAATGTAGTTTTATCAATTCATAAAATATATGGATAGCAATACTTTTTAAATTATCTGACATAATTCAAGTCAAACATAATCGGCCTAACTAATCGGAAAATATAATATACGTGCTTACCTATTTCTTATTCTAACAGGAAATGCTTATTATTATGGAAATAAAATAAAAGAAGAATGAAGTGATTAGACAAAGACATGAATGGTACCAGTATATAAAAGAAATTAGTATGAAATAACGGCAGAAGTGAAGACGATGAAAGAAACAGTTGTTCTTTTGAGAATTTCTGTATTATAGAGACTATCAAATCTGTAGGTGATTATGAACACACTATGTCAAAGTCTTTATGAATTTTAAAACAACACTAGAACTGATTACAAATTCTAATTTAAAGACGAAAATAATTCTTCTCGCTGCCATAACAAAATATATCAGATTAGGTTATCAAAATAAGAAAGAAAATAATTCCTAGTTGATAAGACGAGATAAAAAGTTCAAATAAAGTTTGGAGTCATTATGATTTCCGTTTAATATTACTTCCGCTTTTTGCAAAGTTGAATATGGTGACTATTCAGTGTAGTATTTATTTTGTTTACCAGTGTGATCTTTTATTCACTAAAACATTAATTTATTTGAGTGCGATGTGTTTGTTCAAGATACAATATTCCTTGTATAAAATTAACATGAACTATGCTCAGTATGATTTACAGCATGTGACTTGTAACAACTTTGAGTATTTTTCATATATGTGGTTTTGTTCTAATTACTAATCGAAATGAGTGTGCAATCAATATATGAGTATATTTTGGGGTTAATAAATCTTCAATTGTACAGGTCTTGGTGTTCTTAGTTCGCGTCGTGGAAATTGCAGTGGTTCAACACATTAATTGCAGAGATATATGAACTTCAGCTTTAATAATGACTTTTTCAACTAATATATCTTATCCAATCTTTTTGAAGGTATAACTCAAACAATCTAATTTCATCTAGTGAGAATAGTACCAGTGTTATCAGTATTTAATGTTAATTATGTACTGAGCGCCCATAAATTATGAATCTATGAAGTCTAAGGTTGATTACAGATCCAAACAAAATTATTACCTTAGTGAAAACAATTTTAAAACATTGTTACGTTGAACTGTTTATCAAACAAGTATGAGAATTATGTCCCAACCAACAACTGCTAATCAATTTTTTATCAGTCATTTTACTAATTATATTAAACGAATCAATGAAGCTGAATAGAAATGTAATAGTTGTCGTTTCAATCAAAAAATTTATCGATGATACTAGTTCCAGTTTATTTGTGTTTATAGTAAATATTGATAAATCAATAGAAATATTTTCCTCAGGAAATACGTGCATGATAATACTTTAACTGTAAAGTGTTTTGGTTGTGTATGAGTATAATGGTAATGATTGAGTAGTTTTAATAGTAGGCAGTAACATCAGACGTTCTATTTGTGTTTAAAACTGTTCGTTCCATTCAGTGTTATTGTTCTACATGGTTATTGGTTGTTTCTTCTTGCAAACAATTCCTCGGTGCTTGACAATGAATTATCAATTATGATGCATTAGATTGTGCAATTAACGTTGGCTTTTTATTTAAGGGATTTCGTCAATATGCCTGGCGAAGATCGATTATATATATAACACAAGTGACTTAGTATTGTCAACTAACACATGTTTGTACTTCATCAAGATACCGAAGAAATGAGATCTGAACAAGTGTGAGGACTACAGAGCCATCACACCACTGTCAGTACTAGGAAAAGATTTCAACAGAGCGTTGCTGAACCGGATGAAAGTCGGTCGTGCACAAATCAAATCACGACACTACAGATCACTGTTGAACAATCAATTGAATGGAATTCGTCACTAGACACCAACTTCCTTGACTATGAGAAAGCAGTTGATAATGTGGATAGGATGACTTTATGAAAACCTATTCGACACTATGGTTTACCTGAGAAGATCGTCAAAATCATCCGGAATTCACACAACGGACTAAGCTGCAAAGCTGTGCATGGAAGACAGCTGACAGTTGCATTCCAAGTGAGGAACGGAGTCAGACGAGATAGCTTAATTTCCCGCTTTCTAATTCTTCTGGTGGTTGACTGGATTATGAAGACCTCCATATCTGACGGGAAGCAGGGTATATAATAGATATATTGAATGTGGCTAGATAATGTAGATTTCACAGATGACCTAGCTCTTCTATCCCATACAGACCAATAAATGCAACTGAATACAACTGGTGTAATAGCAGCTTGTGCGTCAATGGTCCTCAACATACATAAGGGATAAAACAACATTCTCGAATACAACACGGAGAACACGCACCTAATTACACTTGATGAATAAACTCTGGAATAGTTTGAAACATCCACATATCTGCACGGCGTCATCGATAAACAAGTAGCATCTGACGTAGATGTAAAGGCGAGGATTGACAAAGCAACGACAGCATTTCTACAAGAACATATGGAACTGAAAACAACTTTCGACCAATATCGATGTCAGAATCTTCAATACGAACGTCAAGAAGATTCTACTCTACGGAGTTGAGACTTGGAAAACTACCACAACGATCATGAAAAAAGTACAGATATTTATAAACAGCTGTCTATGCAAAACGCTGGATACAAATAATATTAATGGATACACCACAATTTGTTCGATATACTTCAATCACTACTAAGAATCACACAATAAGACATATGGTATTATGAGATGATCAGTCAGTATAAGCCCCTGACTGATAATAATTTTAAGATTTCAGTAAAAATAGTCTAGACCTCAAAAAATAATCGAGAAGACGGTGTTTGTGAAAATCATATTTGAAATAAACTCAACGATTGAAATTTAAATAATTTCAGCGTTTTGTTCAGCAAACTTGTCTGGACCCTGAAGAAGTCCTGAGTTTATTTCAAATATAATTTTCACAAACAAATAAAAGAACAACTAGCAGCACAATAGATTTTTTAATTTTATTGTTTAAACTAACTTCCAGTCTATT